GGACACATTTTCTGTCTCGGTATCGTCGAAGACAGACCCTTAGTTGGGGCTCTGTGGACAGAAGCTGCATGAAGGGCAAACTTGTGTTTCTGACTGGCTGGCTTAGAGAGGAACACAGTAGCAATTAAATCACAAGTTCTGCCTTTATACCCATTAGAACACTTATTACTGGAAACATATACATGCAGTCTCTGGAAAATAACAAATACTGTGAGGACAGAGTAAAAAGAAACCCCTGTGCACTTGATAAGGTGTAAAATGATACAGCTGCTGTGTAAAATAGCATGCCCTTCTTCAAAAAACTAAACATATAAGTACCATGTGGTAGAGCAATTTTCAAGAGAAGTGACAGAGGGGACTTGTGTGGTATTCTCACACTCAGTGTGTGTGTTATTATTCACAACAGCAGAAAGATGGAGGTGACCCAAGTGGCCAAATGTGTTACACAATGAAGTGGAAGCATGCTCTTAAAATGAAGGATATTTTGATACATACTACGGTATAGATGAATCCTGAAAACATTCTAAGTGAAGGCAGACAATTACAAAGGACAATGTATGACAGATGAGACGCCTAGATTTCATACAGACAGAAAGAATAGCAGCTAACAGAGGCCAGAAGGGATGGAGAGCTCCGCACAGAATTTTACTGGGGAAGATGAAAAGTTCTGGAGATAAACTGGGCACAGCAGAATACATCTATAATCCCAGTACTCCTGAGGCTGAGGTGGGAGGACTGTCAAGCATGTCTGTCAGCCTAGACTACATAGCAAGACCTGTTTCACAAAACAAAATAAGAGTTCTAGAGATAGGTGAGAGTTGCACAATACTATGACTAGACTTACTGATTTTCACACTTCTTAAAATAGGCTAAAGTAGTAGATTTTATATTATATGAATTTGATCCCCCAAATAAAAAGGCAGAGAGAAGACAATAAACCTTGCTTTGAAGCGAAGTGTGGTGGTAGATGCCTATAATTCCAGCAGTGGAAAGCTGAGGCAGCCTGGGAGTTGAGAAACTCAAATCTGAAAGTACATACAAGGATGGTAAATGTGTGAAGGTGATGTATGCATGGCAGAGGTGGTAATGAAGAATTTAGATGTATTTCATACATGCTTACAATAATAAGCCCAGGTCCTAAAAGTTCGAGTTAAGTCCTACTGTGCATAAACACAGCCCAGACTGGGCAAAGAGAACACTCTACAAGTCTTGATCTGTAGTTCATTTACTACAAAAACAAAACAAGAATTTACTTGGTGGCCCAATGTAACAAGACACTTACTATTAGACTTAAGCAGCACAACAAAATCTAGGCAAAGAAAAGAAAAAAACTTACAACTGTATTTTGCTTGTGCTGAAGGAACTGTCTGTCACAGATGCTGCTACGGCTGCTCATCCTTATAGCCAAGAAGGACCAGTCCTGAGATGATCTGTACATTTTAAGCTTTTGGATTTAATGATAAACTAATGTGAAGAGTGTCAGAAAGTGTCCTAGGGTTCCGTCTACTTTTAACTGTCTCCTTCCTCTTATTTCTCCTTTACGATACCTCTTTGGACCCAGTTAACTGTTTGAAAATAAGCCAAACATTAAAAAAACATTTCTCAACTAATGTTTGGAATGATGTACAAGTATTTATAACAAGTTTGTTATAGGTAACATCATTTCTCAGCTTAGAGGCATGAAAGAAAGGGTTAAAAGTTAGAATTTATCCAGGTCTTGAATTTAGCACAGGCCTTAAATTCCAGCACTCAGGAGGCAGAAGCAGGAGGATCTCTATGAGTTTCAGGTCATCCTGGTTTGCATGATGAGTTCCAGGCCAACCAGGGTACAAATGAAACCCTGTCTCAACAAAATAAAATAAAATTAGAATTCAAATAATTGGCTTCCTTTTGACAAAGGACTAAACTCTATCTGGAAACTTAAGCTGGCTAAATGTATACCAAAAGTCTATGTGGCATGTAACTTGATTCTATGAGTGTACTTTAAGTGTGCAAACTGCAGAAAGTCGTTTCTAGTCCATTAAATGCATTTGACACAAAAATACTGCTGTAATATTAACTGTCTCCCATAGTTTGAATGTAAGCTCCATATAATTATTGTTTTCAGATTCCAATAAAGGATTGCAGGCTACCTTGGTGCATTAACCAGAATCCACTTACATTTTTGACAGTAGGACTGGGGCCAACTGGATGAACAGTAATTTCTCTACTTTGCCAACAGTAGCAACTATTGTGATTAAACGCATCATAAGAAAAGGAGAGTGGGTTCTTTGGAACTCTGAATGGTAATGGGTAATCAGGAGAGTGAGCAATCCTTTCAGATGCCAACTTTATAAGCTTGATCAGATTAGCAAAAAATTTTCATACCAAGCTCTGTGGGTCACTCCCCACAGTAACAAAGAATTGTCTTGTTTAAAAAGCATTTTATTCATTACCATTTCCAGAACTATTTGAAGAAGTATTTTAAAGTACACTGAAGATTCCACCAGGTTTCATCTTAAGCGGGAAGATTTGAAAGAAAAACAGACACAAATCTATTTGAAGCAAGAAGATGTGATCTACTTGAAAAACATGTATGTATACTTGTAATGAGCAACGTTTAGAAGACACAAGACTTCACAATGGGAAATACTTGGACCAAGTCTGATGGATTGGTTGAAAAAGATTCCAATATGGATGCAAAGCCCAAGTATAGACTCTTCCCAGGATAGAGTTAAGACAGTAACAATGTCAAGTACAGACTCTTCCCATGATGAGCACTAAGACACAGAGTCAAACAAAAGGCATTCTCTTTAACTTTAACATCACTTCCATAAAGTAATGTAACTTAATTTCCTATATTCTTGGGACAGACCCAGTGTTCCTGTGTTTCCTCTGATATCCTCCTTGTTACAGTAGCATTCTGGTACTTGTTTAAATACATGACCATGGCCATTATAAAAGTCATCTACCAAATCGACCATACACACTGAAGTGCAAAGATACCAACCCTCCATGAATACTCATGACTTTCTACCTTAGCTGGCTGTGTCCACGTGCCCTGGAATATGATGAATGTCAAATATCACCTGATGAGACTTTTAACTGCTAGTTGATGGTGTGTGCCTATAGTCCCTACTGTGGAGGCCAAGGACTAAGGATCACTTGAGTCTTTGAGTTTGAGTTCAGCCTGAGCAACAGCTCAGCAACACACACAGCATCTCTCTCTCTCTCTCTCTCTCTCTCTCACACACACACACACACACACACACACACACACACACACACAGAGCAACAATAACAACAAAAGGAGACTTTTCAAGTTGAGTATTTTTAAGCCTCAAATGAGAAGATAGGAAATATTAAAATGATATGGAAAAATAGTTTATGGGATGAAAAAAAATCAAGAGCTTGCAAGAGTAATTCAGAATAATGAGTTAAAGAAGTATGATTCTTCAATCTTTTTTTTTTGAGATTTTTATTTGTGTGTGTGTGTGTGTGTGTGTGTGTGTATGTGTGTGTTGAGGAGGGTACCCACAAAGGTCAGGAGAGAGCATTGGATCCCCTGGAGCTGGGAGTTGCAGGTAGCTGTGCGCCACCTGATGTAGGTGCTGGGAGCCAAACTCAGGTCTGCTTGCAAGAGCAGCAAGCACTCTTAACAACTGTGCCAACTCTCCAGCCCTCATGAGTCTTCTATTTTATGTTCAAATACTTGACAGAGATGCCCAACCTATAGAGCAGTTAAGTGGTGGCAGTCTAAAAAGAGTCACTTCTGGCTCCCCCCAACTCTTTGCTTCTTGGGGTAGACTCTCTAAGATCCTGCTGAGGCTGAGAGTACGAGATACTAAAAGTAACATATACTAAAAGTAACGATATATCAGCAAAGAGGCCATGCTTTTCCTACTTAACTGGGGACTGGTCATTTCCCACCTTACAATAACCTAATAGTTTCATGTCGACAGGACACAATATATACTTGAAAGGTTGTTTGTGATTTTCTATTCTGGGTCACCTACTTCCTGACCCCTACCATTCTCTAGAAGACAGTCAGTAGAAAACACAGCCTGCCAGTACCTTCTTATGACAATCAGCAATGGAACCCATCAAGACTCAGCTAAATGGCTGCCATGGTGGTACATGCTTTTAATCCCAGCACTGAGGAGGCAGAAGGGGTGGATCTATGTGAGTTTGAGGCCAGCCTTAGATGGTCTAAATATCGAGTTCTAGACCAGCTGGGGCCACACAGTGAGAACCTGTCTCAACAAAACAAAACAAAAAATCCTCAGCTAAATGCTCCTTAGTGAAAACTCAAGATGAGGATTGGAGAGGATGTGAAGGATGAGGGAAGAACAGAAGGAGAGGGAAGGGAAGGGAGTGTGGTTTGTTTTGAGAAAAAAGAGAATGTTTTTAATTCATACATGCTGACTTAGAGAAGACGTCAAAGATTTCAGGTTTGCCTATTCAGTGCATTGAGGGAACTGTTAAAAGCCGATTCCCTAACTGTATATTTGACTAAAATCCAGTGCGGAGCCAGACTTCATTCCTTCTGTTAGTAATGTGCCTTGTTGCATTACTTTTTGACTTGTAAGGGGTTTTATGCAAGGGTGCTGATAACACAGATTTCTGAGAAAGACTGAAGCATCAAATAACCAACTTAAATGCCTGGTCTTAGCTATACGTTATAAATATCAACCTAGGGAAATGAAGGCAGATAGTGACAATGCTTTTTCAAACAGATGGTAGATATATAAAAGCGCCAGCTCTCTTGCATTTGAAAGAGAATAAGGAGTCTGTTCACAGTATCACGCAGCACAGTTCTAGCAATATTATCCTTCCTCTATCTCTTGAAGTCACTCTATAAGGTACAAACTACATGAAACTGCCTCTAAGGACACCACCAGATGAAAAGCTTCCAAATTCTCAAGAAAAAACACTGGGAAATGGAAGCCAAAGGAAGTGGAAGGCAAATAATCAACTGAAAGGCGCAGCTGTGGTTAGGTGAAAAAAACTTGATACTATACTTTGGTTTTGCATTTTTGTATTCTTCAGTGTCTGTGTCCTCGTCCTCTGAGTACCAATTATCTCCTCTTCCTCCAGCCAGGAGGCCCCTGGCCGCCAGCAGTCCTGCAGCATTCCCATAGCCAGTGTATTTCAGCAGGCTATCCACTGCAAAATAGAACAGAGTTTTAAGACAGGAATCCACAGGTGCTCACCGCCAACCACCACGCACACGCACAGGGATGTTGCACGCACACGCACAGGGATGTTGGAGACGTCTCACATGGCAGGAGACCTTTAGTTGAGAAGTTTTCAAAATATGGAGTGGTTGGGCTGCGTTAGTTACAAACTCTCCTATATGCTATGAGACTAAGATCCTGTTTTCAGGTATCAGGAATTTTGAAAGAGTGCTTATGAACACACCCTGGCAAACGTGGAGCCTCAGCAACTGCTCTGCACTTGTAAGGGCCATGTTTTAAGTTTCTGATCTCCAATCCTATTTTTAGAAAAATCAGTTTTAGAGAAATGTTGAGAAACTCAGGACGGTGAAGTTCTGACTGAAATTTTGTGTGGCATATTACACATACACACACACACACACACACACACACACACACACACACTATTCTTAAAGGAATCTGAGGGAAAAGATGTAAGAATAACACAAGGATATCAGCAAATAGGATTGTCTAGCTTATCACTTAAAATGGTAGGGTGTGGGGGGTATGAATGGGGAAATGGCTCAATGAGAAATGGGCTTGCCACATAGGCATGAGAGCCAGTTTGGATCCCCAGAACCCATGTAAAAGTTGGGGAGGCATTTGGGAGGCAGAGATGAGTTTCCTGGGGCATTGGCAAGCTTCAGGTTCAGTGAGAGACCCTGCATTAAAAAAGTGGAGAGCAATTGAGGAAGACACCTGACATCAAGCTTGGGCTTCTATATATACATGTACATGTGTGAATGAATCAACACACACCTGAACACACACACAAACCTGAAGCATTTGGTATGGATCTTTTGTATTACCTTGCTGATATAGTAAGATATTTTTTAAATGAGCTGACACATAAAATCTTTGGCAAAGGAACTGTAAAGATCTGTGTGTGTGCAGGTATGCTTTCTACACACCTTTAAGGATTATATTAAGCAATGACTAGCAGCTAGTTAGGAGTATTTCCTTTTCTTCAGGTACAATTTCAAAGTATACAATTTTGTATTTAATAAAAGGATTAAGAGTTGCTGAAATTTAGTCAGGGTTCTCAGCAGAATGTTCATAGCCACCCTAAGGACAACTGTAGAAAATAAAATTTATCCATGTATAAAACCATGGTAAAATCAACAGTTGAAATACCATTGTAATTTATATCATTCACCTCTAAAAAGAAAATAATGCTGGAAAAATCCAGTGAAAGGCAATAGAATTGATTTTGGGGACCTGAAAGGGGCTGAGATAGAGAAATAGGTAAGAAAAGGGGATATATTTGGTCAGACTATGAAATCAGACAGCATAGTTGCTAAATTCTGAACTATCTGAATGGGAGATAGTGAAAATAGGTACTCTGGGGACAAATGAAGGGATCTCTCCTTTCAAGGAATATGGCAAACTGTTTGAATTTGTGTAAAAGGAAGCACTGGTTAGTCATATAAGTAGATTATGGAAGATTTAAACTATGTAGCCCAAGCTAGCCAGAACTCTCCATCCCCTAACTGGTCTCCAGAGTGCTGGAATTACAGTGTACTGGAATCACAGGTGTGTACAACCACACCCAGTTTAAAGTTAATTTTTAACCTTAAAACCTACTGGTAGCTGTGGTCTCTGGTAATCATTCTTGGTGGGTACTATGAAAGCATCGTGCAGCATGGTGCACAGTGAGAGCTAAAGAGTATTAGAATTTAATGAAGAATTATGCAATTTGAATCCCTCTGAATAAATCTGATATGCTCTTTGGTTACCAGTGCCTCTTCAAGACTCAAGTGATTTAGCTAAATTGAGTAAGTACATATGAATTCTTGGTGGATGAAATGTTTGTTGTATACAGGTATTCTTAATACTTATGTAGGTTAGACATGACTTTGATGATCAGATACAAAGCTACTGATAAAGAAGCACAGAATAAACCCTCAGAACACTATTGATAAGATGTTTAGCGGTTCTAGAAAAGTAATATTCCCTAAATTATTAAAATCTAAATTGAAACAATATGAATAAATGGTTTAAATGAATATACCTAAAATGACACAAAATGGCTCAAGATTAAAATAGTAGGACACAAAGGCTACAAAAGGCCAAAGGATGTAAACACAAGCAAGCCAAACAGTAATTGTTTTCTTATGCAGAAAATCCCCTGGAAGCTAGTTAGTAACAATCCTGATATTTTAATGAAAACAATGTTACTGCTTTCTTACTAGAACAAACATGCCAATTCTGTGACAGACAAATAGGTTCCAAAGATGATTTAAGACACACCGTGCCTTCAAAATAAATAAAGCCATAGCCAATAGTTTTTAAAGTCAAATTAAATTTTGTTAAGGGGATTTAAAAGAGCTAAAAATGGTAAGTAGAGAAAGGAAACAAATGGAATACAAAATCTTTGTGCAGTTTGAGGTACTGGTGGAGCATTTTCAGCTACTTTTTGGTGTTTTAAAATATACTATATAATATCTCATTTGATATTGGGGAAGTAGAAAAGGAAAACTGACTGAATGTGGCTTTTTAAGTAGGTTGTTATGAGGAAGAAAATATTTCCTGTGGTCCTACATAAACACACATGTGCACACACAAGTATATTTGTTCTGTCATAGTACTGATGTATGTAGTTATATGAAGACGACGCTGGAGTGAAACAATTCCCACTTGGTCAGAAAACTACAAGGGAGATTTCCCCATTGCTCAGTGAAGATGCCAGAGGGCATGGTGACAGAGGAAAGCATCTCTCACAGCATGGTGCACAGGGAGTGCTAATGATGTTCACATGGATGAGGGTTCTTGCACACTTCACCATAAAGCAAACTGTTTCTGCTGTCTTACTATGCAATTAGTTCTACAGGTACAGGAGGTATCTGGGGTAACTCCAGCTTTCTGGCTTTAGAAGGGTGCCTTCAGAGAGAAAGTGACCAAAGGACACAGGAAAGGTTGAGGAACGTGGGCACTGAAGAATTTAATTAAATTAATGTCAGATACAAAGCGATGGGAGCTGTGAGAAACTCAGGTCACTATGTCCAGTAAGCAGGTAGAGAAACACGACATGTTTGAAGCAGAAGCCGAGGGGGTAGGATGAGATCACTCAGTGAGCAAATACCATGAAAATGGGGCTAGGAAGATGACTACAGAGAACTCAACATGGAACCAGAACAGCAATCAGCAAACAAGACTGAAAAGAACAGTGGTCCAAAGACATCCAGGGGTGTGACAGCACAGGCATAATGAGAGAAGTCAGGTGTCAACTGTTATAAAAGCCACAGTGAGATACAAAAATAATCACTGTTTCAGAAAATCAAATAAGCACTCTTGGTGGGGAGTAATAGTGGAAAGCAAATTCTACTATTCCTGGCATTTGGAGGAAGGCTGCTGACTGGGAACAACTTGAGATCAGAGCAGGTGGCAAGGATTCTGAGAAGGGAAAACAATTAGTTCTTCAGGATGCCAAGATGTGAGTCCTGTCCAAGGACCAGCATTCAGCAGACTCTTGATCTCTACGCTTTGGCCATTTGTGACCTTTTGTGTTCCTGGCCCTCCTAACTAGTTTTAAAAAACCAGAGGGAATCATATTAGTCCAACAACCCACTAACAAATTATGCATACATTATCTCTACATGAGTCCATGTGTATAGCTAAAGGCTACATAACAAGAAACAGTGCCAGCCAGACAAGCGATACCTTCCTTTGAGTTGAGAGACTCCCAAAATTACTCAGGCTATTGCCATAGTCCTTGATGGCCTCCCAGAACTTGAAGGTAAGACCCTATTGCTGAAGACAGAGCATACTTCAGACACAGGATTTGGAGCAAACAGAGCTGCAACTGACCTGAAACTACTTCCCCTGAAGGCTCGCTCTCATAGCTTTGGAGGACGCTATGAAGGTGCCAAGAGAAAACATCAATGGATGATCCAATACCACCTTCAAGACCAAATAACCACATCAATGGCCAGCACAGCATACGTCGCTAGTGAAGTAGTGGCACTCTTATCTTGGGGGCAATCAACAACTACCTAATTGGACTAACTGCCCACTCAAAGGGAGGAAACTCAAGTGTGGTAATGTAAACATAACCTAATACACATGGTTGGAGTGGCCATAGATCTTAGAGAAAACCCCAAGACTGTCACATCACTAGACTAATGTGATTTCTTACTATGTGCAAGATATGTATCCTTATATTTACAGATAAACATCCCAGTCACCACTCATCAAAGAAGGTCATTTTGCACCAGAGACTATTTCCAAGTACACATGGACATTGTCTCTGAATTGCACAGGCCTAAGTGACATATCTTCAATGCAACCTAAGGCTCATGGAACAATGCTGGTCCCTGGATAGGGCCCATTTATTAAACTTCACCCACCCAAGGCTCAGAGACCATCACAGAAGAGAGGGTGGAAAGATTGTAAGAACCAGGGAGGAGGTGCATGACCATATCGAAACAGTCCTACAAGCTCCTGGGAACCTGCTCATATGATTCTATGGCAATGGTGTCAGCATACACAAGTGCCATGCAAACTCAGGCAGACAATAACCCAGTATAGAACTGGGAAAATGAACAGCAGACCTCAATCTTATCTGAAGGAATGTTGGCAACTGATTGCTGCTAGATGAAGAAGAGCTGATCTTCCCAAAACAAGGGACTCTAGATAGGCTGACTAGACTCAGTGACAGATTTGCATTGGGGAACGGCTGGGGACACTGACAACCCAGTGGGCCTTAATAGGGATGCAGAGTATATGGGCTCTGGGGGGCGGGAGGAGGCTATGGGAGGGTGCCAGTGGGGATGGAGGTATAAAGATGATTAAGGTTATTTGAGATGTTCTGTATGAAATACACAAAAAAATTCAATTAAAAAAAAAAAAAAAAACCCTGGGAGAGTTCATGTAAAAATTCATTGTTGCAATGTCTCTGGAAAAACTTGGGTATCTGATCTGGGGAAGTAACTCAGTAGAAGACTGAAAGCCTAGCACATGTAAAGGCCTAGATTCAACCCCTAGGACTAGGATAAATATTAAAACTTTTTAAAAGAGAAAAGTTTGGTAAATCTATCTGGGAACACTTGCCACAGTTCCTTAAAGGGAACAGTAAGTTGTAGCTAAACAGCAACAGCCTCTTTCCAACTCCTGCTGTACCCTTTGCCCTTGCCCCTCCAATCCTCTGCTCCCCAAAGGAACTAGCTGAAATTGTCAATTTTCATTTGTCACTTTACATGTAGCTTGCATATCTTCTATTATTACCAGCCTGGCTACTGTATCCATTTGCATAAGTAAATAAAGAGGAAACCCCAGTTATCTTGTGTACTTCTGTAATCCTAGGGTCTAGCTTAAAAAATCCTTTTGAATGGATGAATTAAAGAAAAAATTATTACATTGATTGTGTGTGTGTGTGTGTGTGTGTGTGTATACATGTGTGTGCACACAGAGATAAGAGGACAACCCGTAGGCATTTTTTCTCTCTCTCCCCCTACCATGTGGGTCCTGGGGATAGAATTCAGGTATTCAGGCTTGGCAGTAAGAATCATTACCCAATGAGCCCTTTCACCAGCCCTCAACTCAAATGGATGAATTTTATTCCAAGAATACATTTATATATTTATAACAAGATAGGAAAGAAAATTATAAGACTAGATACAGGATTTTCAAAATTAAAATGTAAAAATATTGCTGTGCTAATCTGGGATAGCTCTAAGCTAAAAGTTGTAATTCTAAAACTTCACAAATATTAGATCCTAGGAGGAATAATGCCAATTATTTCAAAGTTTAAAAATTAACAGAATTCACTTAAAATACATGTGCCCATTTGTTGTGACACTAACTCATCAGTAAAGTGATTGGAGTTAGTCATACATGAAAAACTTTAATTCTTACCTACTAAAATTTTTTTTCTTTCAAGATTTTAATTTATTCTTATTTTATATATGTGTTTTGCTTACATGTATGTATATGTACTATGTGCATTCAGTGCCAGCAGAAGCCAGAAGAGGGCGTTGGATTCCCCTGGAAAGGGATCTAGAGATGGTTGATAACCACCAAGTAGGTGCTGGGAACTGAACCTAGGTCCTCTGTAAGAACAACCAGTGTTCTTAGTGTTGAATCATCTCTCTCTAGCCCCCTTATTAAAATTTTCCTAAGTATACAAGAAATGTTCATTGTAAAAACAATTGATACAGAGAACAAAACAAAAAAACCCTACTAGCAATCCTATTAGTCAAAAGCAAGAATATTAATAATATATCAAGGTAATCATAACAGTATTTATGAGATATAATATTTTGGTACAAAAGAGTTTGAAAACTCTTTTGTGTGTCTGTGTGTGATGCTGGTGTATGTGCATGTGCAGGTCTTTGTGTAAGTGTAGGCATATATGCCATGGAAAGCATGTGGAGATTAGAGAACAACTTTGGTACTGGTCCTCACCTTCCACACTACTGCTGAATAAGCCACGTTGGCTGGCCCTCCAGTTTCTGGATTTTCCCATCTCTGTCTCCCATCTTACTACAGGAGCTCTGGTATCACAGAAATGCCCTATGTTACCTGGCTTTACGTGGGTTCTAAGGATTTCAACTCAGGTTCTCACACTTGCAGGGCAAGTGTTTTACTCTCTGAGCCATCTCCCCAGCCACAGCATCCTTTTTGAAATGAATAGATAAGATGTATGCGCAGTTTAGAATTACGTACATACACACAACTTCTAAAAGCAAGTGCATATGTGTGTGCATGTGGAGGATAGAAGACAACCTTGAGCATTGTTCCTTTGGAATGCTGTCTATCTTATTTTGAGGCAAAGTCTCTCATTGGCCTGAAGCTCAACAATCAGGCCTAGAGAGGCTGGCCAGGAAGCTCCAGGGATCCACCTGTCTCTGCCTCCCTGGAGCTGGGATTACAAGTATAGGTCACCATGCTTGGCATTTTTAGATTTTTACACAGGTTCTGGGAATCAAATTTAGATCCCCTTGCAAGCGCTTTACCAACTAAGCCATCTCTCCAGTCCCAAATAGCTCATTTTTGATCTAAGAAAAATAAATCACTTAAGTCATATTTAGACAATGCACATAAGATATAAGCCATTTTTTTTTCAAATCACGGAGAAGTGAATAGTTCAAAAGAACAAATGAAACTGAATATTAACCTTAAAGGTCCTTAGAAGAATTAAGGTTATGCACAGAATGTCAGGCACAGACATCTGTCATTTCATAAGAATTGTTTATCACCATTATAATAATGGTCAAATTATGGTGCTAATAATGTACCATCTTTATATTACAGAAACTTAAGTGGTTGAATCAAAAAGTCAGAAATGAAGTATAAGACTACAGATGATGTAAGATTATAAGGGTTAGAAATATAGCTCAGTGGTAGAAGTATTTGCCTAGCATGTATAAGACCCTAAGTTTAATTCTCATCACCACCAAAAAAAAAAAAAAAAGATTTTGAGGAGTGTTTTTCTCATCTCCAAACTATTTCACAAAATTGGAGTTCTTAAAAAAAAGGTGGGGGGGTAGTGATAAAATTCTGCTTAGATGGGATTTTGTACAAAGACATTAATAAACAAGGAGAAGAAATATATAACAGTTATCTCAAGGGTGATAACACATCTTAATGGAATTTGGACTTTAAAAATATCTGTGTTATTTGTTATATTATTTATGTGTATGTATGTGTGCTCTGAATGAGTTTATGTGCACCATGTGCATGCAGGTACCCTCAAAGGCAGGAGGGCATAGGGTTCCCTAGAACTGGAGTTACAGGGAGTCACCTAATGTGGGTGCTGGGAACAGAACTTGGGTCCTCTGCAAGAGCAGTAAGTACTCTTAATGACTGAGCCGTCTCTCCAGCTCCACATTTTTGGACTTCTATCCAGTATACTATATAGTTCACATTCATTGACTATAGATTGAAGAAGTCAGTGAAGAAACCAAACTTGGATTCCAAGAAGAATTAGACAGAGGACTAACCCGGATCTGCACCTAGTTATTAAAATAGTAATACCTAAATTATTTGATGAGCTTTTTATAATGGTTCCAGAGCCTAAAACATTAAGAAGTTCAGTTTATATGTGTACATGTGTTTAATAATGCATCTGTTTCTGCATGTCTTTGTGAATTCAAGAGCACATAAAAATGTTTTAAATTACTCTTTCTTATTGTCTTCTCAGTCTTTCTTAATAACAGGTAAATAGCTCTGGAAAGGGTGGAATAAAGAAGCTACTAGTAACAGGAAATTCTCTCAAATTTCCTCCAAAAGATAAAAATATGGGGCAAAGAGAGTTCAACCTACCTCTCTCTTTGCAAAGGACAAAAAGGAATTCAGCAGCAATCTGCTTGACGCCAAGGTCAACATGTGTCATGAGGCGCACCAGCTTATTTCTCACAGTTGAGCCAACTTCAGGTCGATTTGTCACATCCCTCAATGGTGGTAAAACCTGATGGCATAAATGGAAAAAAACCATCATCAATTGAGGGCTGGAGCACGTCAGGATAGTACCATGCACCTGGTCAGTCTTAGAAGAAACTACACTTAGTTTTATAAGAGTGAAAAATAAATGTTAGCTACTAAATGAAATGAAGCAAACTACCACCACCAAACAGATGTTAAATAGTCTCACGTGTGTAGCAAAGTTTCAGATGAACAAACACACGTCTCCCTGTATCACCTGGTTATCTCAGCATCTGCAGTGTCTCTTTTGGCTTCTATCAAAATTAATTTTACAGTCTGTGTCAAATTTCTCTTTCTTATTGAGTATGATGGTACAGGCCTATAATTCAAGTATATGGAAGGCTGAGACAGGAGGATCAAGCTGCCTTGGCTACATAGCAAGACCCTGTCTCCAAAAACAAAAAGGGTGGAAGGACTCTGGGACGACTGCTCAAGTCAGTAACATGCTTTCTGGGTTTGTATCCCAGTGCTAGGGAAGCGGAGAAAGAAGAATCCATGGGGCTTACTGGTCAGGCTAGCCTACTTGGTGAGTTCCAGACTAGTAAGATACCTACCTACCTGCCACACACATATGACTCTCTCTCTCTCTCTCTCTCTCTCTCTCTCTCTCTCTCTCTCTCGATAGTATCCAAGAAACAACACCTGAGGCTGTCCTGTCTTCTGGCCTCTACATACACGTGCATACATTTTCACATGCACCTAACCCCCCATATACACACACAATTTCTCATTCTTTCAGACTTCCTTAATACTCTAAGTCATAGTGACATGTTCATTCTTTTAAATTTAGCAACATTTTCAAATTTAATTTAAAAAATCTGCATTTATACTTTTTAGTTGTTTAATTTTATAATAAAAGATGGCATGGCTACTGCAGGTTGAACATCTCTAATCTAGAAATCTGAAATGCTTTAAAATCTGAACCCTTTTGGCTAATGATATAATGTCTCAAATGGAATTCCATGTGATAGGAGAAACTGACTTTCTGTGATGGGTTAGATGAAGGTGCTCTAAAAAAATGCTGTATAAAATTACCATAAAGCTATGTATACAGAACATTAATGGATTTCACATTTATACTTGGGTTCCAATGCCAAGATATATATCTATGCAGATATTGCCAAATCCAAAATGATTCTAAATCTGAAACACTTCTAGTCTCAAGCATTTGGGTATGACATGTTCTTTACTTACTGAGCACTGTCTACATACTAACTGCTGTAACAGAAGGTAGACACACATTACTTACAATCCTCACAACTACCCTACAAAGAAGACAGTAACAGATCCCTCATCACAATTTTACATAGTGAACCTCAAAGGGTGAATTTTAAATTTTTATTTATTTATTCAATTTTATTTTATGTGTATGTCTATTGCCTGCACATTTCTAAGTGCATCCATGTTGTACAGTGCCCGAGAAGGCCAGAAGAAGGTGTTGGATCCCCCAGAACTAAAGTTTCAGATGGTTGTTAGCTGCCATGTGGATGCTGGGAATTGAACCTGGGTCCTCTGCAAGAACAGTCTATGCTCTTAACCATTGAGCCATCTCTCCATTCCCAAAGGGTTGTTTGTTTTTGACAGGGTCTCCCTAGTCACAGCCCACCTGGAAGTCACTATGTGGACCAGGCTGGCCTTGATCTCACAGAGATCTGCCTGCCTCTGCCTCCTGAGAATTTCAATGCAGCTTGTTTAATGTCTGCTTGCTCACCCCTGCACCCACTCCCTGCATACCTCTTGTCTCCTGGTTCTCCCATCTGACTACTTTGCCTTGTCTCAGCATCTTCTGTCAGCTCCCTTTCTCTTCCTGCCTTGGGATGGCCAAGGGTTGAGTTTGGGAGCAGCTCTTCCTGAGTATGTTCAAGCACACTGTTCACGTTCTCATCCTGTTTTATGGTTTCATACAATGTCTACATACTCAGACTCCCTAATCATATCTCCATGTTGATTCTTTCCCTGAAAAATCACTGAATAGAGATCAACTACAGGATCTTTGGAACTACAGGTAGAAATTAGATTAAAATGGCTTTACTTGCATTTTTAAGGTTATATTCATGATGGATGTATGCAGAGAATACTCAACACAACACAAAGCTAAACTTTACTTGTGGATCACAGAGCAAGTAAAAGCGTGAAGGTCATCTCGCCTTCGCACTGATGTTTCCCACACTGTGCATGCCAAACAACCATGGATCTTATTAAAATGCCAGTACTCATTCAGTAAGTCTTGGTAACACCTATGATTCTGTTTTCATTTTGTTAAACCTTCATGTTAAACTTTTATGGGTACAATCCAGTATTATTAACTATAGGTGCGATCTTGTATAGATCTCTAGAACTTAAATCATTGTATATAATTGAAATTTTATACTGCACTGATTAGTAACCATCCTCTCCCTAGCCCTTTTGGTAAGACTACTATACTCTGCTTCTGACCCTTAACCCTTAAATTTTTCAAACTTGGCATGTTTTCAATGTGACTCTATCAAACTGCCCTTCCAGAAGTCTGCCATCTCATTAAGTGTTAGGTCCACTTTCTGACTTTCTGTGTGTGCTCTATGTGTATGCAGATGTTCGTGCCAATGCAGAGACGAGAGGAGGATGCTAGGTATCTTCCTCATCACTCTCTGCCTTATTGCCCCGAGATAGTGTCTTACTGAACCTGGAGCTCACTTTTTTGGTTAGACTAGAGGCTGCCAACCTCAGCCACCTTCTTATTCCCCTACCTACTTCCCAGCACTGGGGTTACAGGCATGTGCAGCTGTGCCTGGATTTTTACATGGATGTTGGGAATATGAACTCAGGTCCTCATGTTTGTGCAGCAACTGCTCTTATCCACTGAGCCATTACCCAGCCCAATGTTACGTCAATTCTTCTAAATGCTGAATACAAAGACTTTGAAAATATTTCAGGCCTCTCTTTCATATTCAACATCTATCCATCAAAAAATCATAGCTCTACCTTTGAAATACACCTAGGATCCAACTATTTCTTATGCTCTCCTCGAGTACTATTAAGCCCACCCTACCAATATTTCTCACCTGGACTAATATCACAGTCTTTTAAGTGGTCCCTGTTTCGCTCCTGGTTCCTTATCAGTTATTCTCTACACAGCAGGTAGGATGACCACTTGAAAGACCAAATGGCACCTCGGAGTCCTCTCACCTCATGGCAAAGGCAAGGTCCTCACAACTCTCTTCCAGTTCCATGAGTGGTGTCCTGCACTTCTCTGGCTGCATTTCTATTCTCCCTGCTTACTTGACTATAGCCACACCATTTCCAAGGCATTGCTCGAACACACCAAGAATCTGCCCATCCAGGTCCTTGCATTTATTCTTCTCTCTGTCTAGAAAAACTTTCTAGAAATTCATATGGCTTTCTTCTTTCTCTCCCTCACTTCTTAGGTTTCTGTTGAAACGTTACTTACAGAGAATATTCCCTGGTCTCCCCTCACCAATCTTCAGCACTCTCTTCACTACTTCTCACCCTTACTCTTCTAGAATCCTCCTCGTGGTACTAACCACTACCTGGCACAGTAAATATTCGCGTGTACTTCTTTCCACAGCAGTAAGTTCCATGACTCTTCTTTGAGAAGCTCAGACCCATGTTCTTGCATAGGACTTTCTTTCCGAGTGCCTCTCTCTTAACCGTATGCTTAAAGTTTATATTAAAATCTTCTTTAAAAAGTAAGTTTCGGGGCTGGAGAGTGGGCTCAGTGGTTAAGAGATCTGACTGCTAAAAATTCCACGCGCAAACTCCTAGAAATTATTAACACATTCAGTAAAGTGGCAGGTTACAAAATTAACCTACAAAAGTCTATAGCCTTTCTATATACCAATGACAAGCAGTCAGAGAAAGAGCACAGGGAAACCCTCCCATTCACAATAGCCACAAAAAAA